TGAGAAGCAGACTCTGGGAAGATATTCTTTGTACCAAAGACTTATTGAGAGAAAGTCCTTTGATGGGGAGAGAGTCTGTGGATGCTGGGACAGCTGTCAGACCTTCCTGCAGCCCCATCTTCAGTGGGGAGAGGGGAAGAAAGGAAGCAGGGGAGAAGCTTTAAGCTGCGGGGCATTTCTAAGCAAGTGGTGGCAGGGCTGAGTGGGCATCCTCCAGCCACTGGGCTGCTCAGAGGAGCCCCCTGTGAGTGCCCTGCTCTCTCAGTGCTCAGCCTCCCTGTCTGAGTGCCCTGCTCCCTCAGTGTTCTGAAGAACAAGTAAAGTAAAAATATTTGTGAAGGGAATGTTTTCATTCTCACCTCTCATTCTAATTAGTTCTCCATATTGTTGCTCAAGTGATAGTTCTTATATGAAAATCTGATTGTTTAACTCTACTACCTAAAATATTTCAATAGTTCTGTGTTGCCATTGGGTTAAAACTGAGAACTCTTACATGGCAGAGGGGCCTCCTTATGACGTGACCCAACCTCTGGTCTACAGTGGAGAGTTCAATCTCTCTCTCTCTCTCTCTCTCTCTCTCTCTCTCTCTCTCTCTCTCTCTCTCTCCTCTGCATTTATATGTTATTTTCGTTAAGTTATCCTAGTGACTGTTGAGGCAGAAACACTAACATTTAGTAACTATGCAACAGAACATTAACTTTTCATTCACATAATAGTCCAATGCAGGTACTCCTGGTTGATGATGTTTTCCCTCACCTGGTGTCTCAGGGCAGGTGCTTTTGTTTTCTTCCCATCCATCTAATAATAGGTAAAAGAGAGAAGAGAAAACTCTCCTACTTCTTCAATGTTGTGGCCCAGAAGTGGCACGTATTACTTTTGCTTACATTCCATTGTTGAAAACCCAACCAGATGCAAGACAGCCAGGAAACCCAATCTCTGGCTGCCCCTTCTCAGCAGCTGTTCTGCACATTGGAGAACATAAATTATGGGGATTTCCAGCTATCTCTGCTGTTCCTCCTGTGCTGTCACCTATAGATGTAGCCTGGATCCCAGCTCCTTCCCTGATTCAGCTCATCTGGACAACTCTTATGTGGCCATTTAAGATTCATCTAAAGCTTTGCATCATTTCAAAGGCTTTGGAATATCTTCACTCTATACTCATATAACACAATGAGCTCACCAGCTATCATTGCACACATCACATTGTATTATAACTGTGTTCATGTATAGTTATTATTTTACAAACATGAGCTTCTGTAGGACTGGTACTGTGTTTTTATTTTAAATCAGTAAATATATGGCACAAAATATGTACCCACAAATATTTTATTAAATAAATGAAAAGTTATTGTATGACTGGATTCACAAGAGAGTGGTAAAACAACCAACAGTGGATGTTCTAAAGAGTGAGTTTTATCTTAAAAGAGTAAATTTATGTTAAAACACATATATCAATCTTATTTTTAAATTGAGGAATGTGTAGGCCTCTGAAGTTTCTTTGCTCTTGTTAATAAATCTGTCATGTAAAGAGTATTCACAGTGGTCAGATTACCCTGAGCATCCTAACGGAGTTCATACACTCATAAGTCAAGGACTGTGACTTGGGTTCAGCTCTTCACTAAAAGGAATGTTATGCTAGTAGGATGTATTTGGATACAAGTAAGCTGAAACTTGAGTCACAATTGTTTAAAAAATTAGAGAATATACTATGTCACATAGCATGAAGTCTAGAATTAGGGTAGTTCCAGGATAGGCTGATCCAGTGGCTCAGTTAAGTCAACCAGGACCTGGGTTCTGTCTTTATCTCAGTCCTACTTTCCTCAGTATATTTATTATGTCCTTGGACTGGATCCCTTCAAGGGATCACAGTTATCTGCCAGCAAAAAGTGGGGAAATATATTGCCTTGGTTATGTCCTGAGGGAGAAAATAAGAACACCTCTCCCCCAACCATATAAGTGCTTCTTTTTAGTCTGACAAGACTGACTTATATATATACTAGTAGCCCGGTGCACGAAATTCATGCACTGGGATAGGGGGGGGAAAGGGGCCCCTCAGTCTGGCCCTCACTCTCTCCAATCTGAGACCCCTCAGGGAATGTCCAACTGCCTGTTTGTGCCCACACTTTTAACAGATAACAGCTCCATTGTTGTTTCTTTCTTATGCTTAAAACCATTGGAATTAGTAGGTATTCAAAGTGTGTATACATTTTTGGGGGACACCCTGTATATCTCTAGTCAGCGGTGAAAGAAACCAACAGCAGATTTGAAACCCCCAGACAGGGAACCTCGCTCGCTCCCCACGTCTCCCCACTTCACTTTCCACCTTTGTGGGCAGCAGGAGAGTCAACATTTTCTCTCATTAATTCGGAAAAGCACGTCCTGTCACCCGTTGCCCGGCAGGAGTGCGCTAGGCCCCAAGCAAGCAAGGCTCAGTCAGGGCAGCCTTCGCTCATGGGTGCTGGCACCCAAAGTGCACATTCTTCCTCTACAGTCGCCCCGACTATCCCACTGTTTCATTGAGAGGATGGAATTCCTCTCCGCCTCTGGGTTCTTGATCTTGAACGCCCGCGCCCACCAGGTGTGTCTGTCTGCATCTGCTCCTGCCTCAGCACCTGCATTAACCCCCTAGAGGTGATCTCGTAGCTGCACTGGCCTCTGTGGGAACAGAGCATCACCACTCCGCCCTCTCACTGTCATCTCACAGGCGCCCACCCTCAGCACCCAGAACACCCAGACACTCTCCAAAGGACATGAGCACATCAGAGGGGATGTGTGCACATCCTGTGGGGGTGTTAGGCATGCTGGGTTGATGGAAGTGCTGTGGGAACTTGTGCAGGCCTTGGTTTGCAACTGTTGCAGGTGCGGGAGGGTGACAGTGTCCTGGGGGATGTTCGCACGCCAGGGGGGGATGTGCACATCGGAGGCCTCTGGCTTTGCAGATCCGTAAACCCCCATGGTGCGGCCAGGAGGACGTCAGTCTGGCCCGCCACGGTGGCTGTCCCTGCGATCCTGCACCTTCTGGTCCAGGAGGCGGATCTTGAGCAGCCAATCCTGGGCACTGATGGCCTGCAGGCACTACTTCAGCTCAGCCTGCAGGCTCCACTTGGCGCACTCACAGCTGTCACCACCACCATGTGGGGAGTACAGGCCGCCCTCCGCCGGCCTGCCTCCCCTGTCCAGAGGCTTTCTGCGCTGCTCACCTGCCCAGAGTGACTGGGGCTGGGCGGAAGCCAGGCGTCCTGCCCTGCCCAACCCCAGCCAATCCGCCCCTGTGCGAGCTGCTGCCCCACCGGCAAGGGTCACAGATCCGGGTCCCGGGACAGCAGACAGCCTCAAGCACTGCCCCCCGCCTGCCAGGTCATAGATCCGGGTCCCAGACAACAGACAGCCTCAAGCACTGCCCCCCGCCAGGTCACTGATCCAGGTTCTAGACCGTGGACAGCCTCAAGCGCTGCCGCCCGCCCGCCAGGTCATGGATCTGGGTCCCAGACCACGGACAGCCTCAAGCGCTGCCGCCTTGCCCACCAGGTCACAGATCCGGGTCCCGGGACAGCAGACAGCCTCAAGCACTGCCCGCCTCCCGGCAGGGTCACGAATACAGGTTCCAGACCGCGGACAGCCTCAAGCGCTGCCGCCTGCCCGCCAGGTCATGGATCCGGGTCCCAGACCGCGGACAGCCTCAAGCGTTGTCCCCCGCCCACCAGGTCACGGATCAGGATCCCAGACCGCAGACAGCCTCAAGCACTTCCCCCTGCCCGGCAGGGTCACAGATCCGGGTCCCGGGACAGCAGACAGCCTCAAGCACTGCCCGCCTCCCGGCAGGGTCACAGATCCAGGTTCCAGACCACGGACAGCCTCAAGCGCTGCCCCCCGCCCACCAGGTCACGGATCCGGGTCCCAGACCGCGGACAGCCTCAAGCACTGCCACCCGCCCGCCAGGTCACAGATCCGGGTCCCGGGACAGCGGACAGCCTCCCGCGCTGCCCCCCGCCCGGCAGGGTCACGGATCAGGGTCCCGAACCACGGACAGCCTTGCCCGTTGCCGCCCGCCTTCAGTATGCATATTAGCCGCCATCTTGTTGCTTCAGGGTGGGGGTCCCGCTTGTGTGCCTGGCCAGTCTGGGTGAGGGGCTGAGGGCCGTTTTCAGGCTGGTGGGCGACTGAAGCTCCCAAACTCTCCTTTTTTTCTTTTTATTCTGGGATTTATTTACCTTCTATGGCTGTCACTGGAGCTGAGAGCCGGCTTTAGCTCTGAGGCCCGGCTGCAGCTCTGAGACCTCGGCTGCTGAAAGCAGGGATCTGGGTTTGCTCTATAATTGAAACAATGTTGTGGTCCTGCTGGCTGAAAGCAGGTTTCTGGGGATTGTTTAGCTTCTATTTTTGCAACATTGTTTCTTAGACTGCAGCTCAGAGGCTGGCAGCAGCAGGAGGGGAACCTTGGCTTCCTCCATCACTGGAGCAAGCAAGCCTCCTGTTCGCTTCAGCTGCCTGGCTGCCGGTCGCCATCTTGGTTGGCAGTTAATTTGCATATCGCCCTGATTAGCCAATGGGAAGCATGTCGGAGGTACGGTTAATTACCATGTTTGTCTATTATTAGATAGGATATGCTGATCCATGGACTGGAAACTTTTCCCAGGGAATTCTGTCTCCTAGCTGATTCGATTACTCAGTGTCTCACAAAGCAGAGGTTTTCTAGAAGCACTTGGGTGGATAAAAGAGGTGGGTAGCTCTTCTCTCCAAAATTCATGGGTCCATTAGAAAGAAAAAAAAGGGGGGGAATATATGCTGGGTATTCAAGCAGTAATGTTCATCACAAATATTTTAACAATACAACCTATTGAATTGGTGTCTATGAAAGAGCGAACAATTTTCCAAAGGAGGCAACAACCCAATTCTTTCTTCTGCCACTCTACAGGTTCCAAATCACATATTTAAAAGCATACAATAGTGAACATTTTAGACTGTGTTCCTCAAGTGCAATTATTTATTCTTTATTTTAGGCCTTATTATGGGATTAATTTTACGATATGCCACTGCACCAACTGATATTGAAAGTGGAACTGTGTATGATTGTGGACAACTGGCCTTCAGTCCATCAACTTTGCTGATTAATATCACTGACCACATCTATGAATATAAATACAAGAGAGAAATAAGTGAGCACAACATTAGTCCTCACCAAGGCAATGCCATACTTGAAAAGGTAAGAATCTGATCTCTTTTTGGTGTCCAGTATAAATAATTTTATCATACATAATCCATCATATGTAACATATTCACACACATATATATGCTCTTTTCAACACCACACTATGAGGGTGATTTAATTGACTAAGGGGTTAACATCTTGATACACTCTTTTTAAAATTTTTTTAATTTATTCCAGAGAGGGAGGGAGGGAGATACAGAGAGACAGAGGGAGAGAAACATCGATGTGAGAGAGATACATCAATCGGTTGCCTCCTGCACACGCCCTGACTGGGGATTGAACCCACAACCTAGGTATGTGCCCTGACCAGAATCGAACCCACAATCTTCCGGGGCACAGGTTGAAGTTCCAACCAGCTGAGCTACCCTGGACAGGACTGATATACCCTTAATGTAAGCTCAGTTGTCTGTATTTTTTATATACTTTTCATATATTTTTTTGCAAACCACAGTTACATTAGATAAAAAGATGTAACTCAGCTGATGCTGCCTTTCATGAAGCTTGACTCAAATTTTCCCATGTGTGTTTTTAGTATTAGTGCATATATTACCAGCTGACTACTCAGTTAAAATTTCCCTAAGTCAAAAGAAAAATGGGGGAATGAAAAAATTTGCACTTGCAAACCTTGATCTAGGCTGACTGCCACTGGGCTGGTTGGAAGCACACTGACAAGAGAGTCATCTCAATGGAGCTTGACTCCATTAGTTTAGCCTTAGGTAGAACACAACTGAGAAGTGACTCATCTTTTAAAAATGGTTTCATTATTGCAAATATGTGAACTGCTTCAGGCATTGGAAGGAAAACTTCCTTCCACTTTCAGGACTCTGGGTCAGAAAACAGGTGCAGTTGCCTTTTGGGGTGCCTTATGTGTATGGATCAGTCCTTTCAATAAGTGAATTTGTGTTTAACAATACAAGTCCCTAATAAGAACTAGAGTCTCATGTGACTTATTCCAGATCTTTTTGGGTCTGAGATGAGAACTTCCTTGATATTATGGAAGTGTATCTTATCATACATGGATTTCGTTTTCTTTTAATGTATGCATTTTCCCCATTTTGTGAGATTTGGGGTAGAGGGGAGATACTTGGTCTCCCAAGGTTCCTCATTCAAGATGGATAATTTTTAGTGTTTTTTCCACATTATCTTTCCTTAACACATTTCTGGATTAACTTCCTTCTACCACTTGATGAGGGCTCAGGAAAGTCAAACAAAATATAATATTAGCCTAAATTAGCCTTAGTTAAGAAAGCAACTTGAAGCAACAAAAAGACAATGAAATAATGTATTTCTGGAATAAAAAGGAGCAGATCTAACAGCATAGGGTTTTAATTAAAACACTAGTGGCTCGGTGCATGAAATTCATGCACATTAAAAGGGAATTAATTAGAGGCAATATTTTAATATTGCTATTTGCCCATTCTCTATAATAGAAGTGTCAGAGATAAAAGAAAATTAGTAAAATGTATATGAAAATCTCCTTCCTGTCAGAGACTGGGGAGTGCTATGGGACCCAGAGTCAAGTCCCTGCCCACCTGCACGTACCTCGAAATCTCGCAAGACCCAAACCTGGCCGGTCCCAACCCTGTCAAGCCCTGTAGGGTGGGGGGCACAGCCTCAGGTTCCCCATCAAGCCCTGCTAGGTGGGGGGTGCAGCCTCAGGTCTCCTGTGAAGCCCCGCTAGGCAGGGGGCACAGCCTCAGGTCCTCCAGCCCTTGGTGCTGGGGTGGGGGGTGTGGCCTCAGGTCCCCTAGTCCAGCCTCAGGACCCCAGGCCCTGGTGTGAGGGTGTGAGGGCACGAGGGCATGAGGGTGTGATGACCATTTGCATATTAGTTCTTTATTATATAGGATACTCTTCAGCTTTACCTTTGTTTTAGTGCCACGGCATAATTATCTTCCTGCTCTCTTACATACTTTCATCTGTATTTCTTACTTAGCAGCACTATTTCTTCAGGTTGACTCCCAAAGATGCTGACAATTATCTCTGTTACTACAGTAATTTTGTTCTCTAACAAGATTTCCAACAAACACCAGATCAGAAATTTTGTTTCTGTTATTGATATATTGATTCCTTTATCAGCAGCAAACTCCAGTGTTTGCTTTTGAAAAACTAAGGCAAGAGATGAAGAAAATGTTGAAGTTGCTGGGGCCCTCTTGGTTTTTCAATGGAGAGAGTATGATTTTTGCACATAATTGAGACTATAATTGACCTTGAATGGTTCAAGTATTTTTTAGACTAACTTCTAAATCATGTGACTCATGTTAGTCACAATTCAAATTTGTTTCTCAAAGCAGCCAAGGTTGGTAATGGATGACTCTATACCCAGTGTACACCCTCCCCTCACTGCTGGGGAAGGGGGAACCCACTGGCATGCTTACCATGTTAGACGAATTTAAGTAGAAAGATCTTGTTTATAAATGGCCAGAGTATATCTTAGTGCACACTTATTGCTTCTGTGCCAATGTCTTGGAATGCTAGTTAGTCTTTGAAAACAAAAAACCAATAGTCTGTCTTCCTTATGGGATGTTTCCACTGCATGCAACTATTCATATCAGCCAATCAATTCATCCATATCAGATGCAAAAAGATTTAAAAAAAGGCTGTATTCATTGGCAGGCTTATAGGGAGGTAACATGGAGTGATAGAGAAACAATTTAGGACCAGACAGATTTGCCAAATGTTCTTAGTAAATTCCTTGGATTTTGTAATCTCTAACTTTTTTTTTTTGTAAAGTGGGAGATTAGAACTATTTTGTAGGGTGGTTTTCCTATTTAACTGAAATCTAATCTAATAAAAGAGAAACATGCAAATTGACCGCACCTTCGCTATGCCCCAAGCCACGCCCACCATCCAATCAGAGTGACCGTATGCAAATTAACCCAACCAAGATGGCGGCTGGCAGCCACCGAACTGGAGCAAGCAGGAGGCTTGGTTACCCCGGCGATGGAGGAAGCCAAGCTTCCCGCCTGCCCTGGCTGGCTGTGGCCTCCACTCAAGGCAACAAAGTTTCAATTATAGAAGATAAATAAATCCAAGATACCTGCTTCCAGCCAGCCTCCACTGGGAGCTTGGGTGGCTGGGGGCCATGGCCACCCTGCAAACAGCCATCAGCCCCTCACCCAGGATGGCCACACCCTCATGGGGTGAGGGTCCCTGCTGGGGGGCTTGGCCAGCCTGAAAACAGCCATCAGCCCCTCACCCAGACTGGCCAGGCACCCCAGCAGGACCCCCACCCTGAAGGGGGTGTGGCCAGCCTGAAAATGGTCCTCAGCCCTTCACCCTGGCTGGCCAGGCATCCCAGTGGGGACCCCCACACTGAAGGGGCTGTGGCCAGCCTGCAAACAGCCATCAGCCCCTCACCCAGACTGGCCAGGCACCCCAGGAGGGACCTCTACCTTGAAGGGGCTGTGACCAACCTGCAAACAGCCATCAGCCCCTCACTCAGGCTGGCCAGGCACCCAGCGGGGACCCCCACCCTGAAGGGGTTGTGGCCAGCCTGCAAACAGCCAACAGCCCCTCACCCAGGATGGCCACACCCTCATGGGGTGAGGGTCCCTGCTGGGGGGCTTGGCCAGCCTGAAAACAGCCATCAGCCCCTCACCCAGACTGGCCAGGCACCCCAGCAGGACTCCCCACCCTGAAGCGGGTGTGGCCAGCCTGAAAATGGTCCTCAGCCCCTCACCCAGGCTGGCCAGGCACTCCAGCGGGGACCCCCACCTTGAAGGGGGTGTGGCCAGTCTGAAAATGGCCCTCAGTTCCTCACCCAGGCTGGACAGGCACCCCAGTGGAACCCCCACCCTGATCCGGGACACCCTTCAGGGCAAACCAGCTGGCCCCCACCCATGCACCAGGCCTCTATCCTATGTAATAAAAGGGTAATATGCAAATTGACCCTAATAGCAGAACAACTGGGAATGACTGGTTACTATGACACACACTGACCACCAGGGGGCAGACGCTCAATGCAGTAGCAGCCCCCTGGTGGTCAGTGTGCTCCCACAGCGGGAGCTCTGCTCAGCCACAAGCCAGGCTGATGGCTGCCAGTACAGCGGTGGTGGTGGGAGCCTCTTCCGCCTCCTTAGCAGCTCTAAGGATGTCCGACTGCAGCTTAGGCCTGCTCTCCGCTGGCAAGTGGACATCCCCCGAGGGCTCCCGTGCTGCCAGAGCAGCCGTGGGCAAACTACGGCCGCAGGCCAGATCCAGCCAGTTTGAAATGAATAAAACTAAAAAAAAAAAAAAGACCGTACCCTTTTAGGTAATGATGTTTACTTTGAATTTATATTAGTTCACACAAACACTCCATTTATGCTTTTGTTCCGGCCCTCCGGTCCAGTTTAAGAACCCATTGTGGCCCTCAAGTCAAAAAGTTTGCCCACCCCTGTGCCAGAGGGATGTCTGACTGCCAGCTTAGGCCCCATCCCCTGGGGAACAGGCCTAAGCCAGCATGTGGTCATCCCCCGAGGGGTCCCAGACTCTGAGAGGGCACAGGCCGGGCTGAGGGACCCCCCCGAGTGCACAAATTTTTGTGCACTGGGCCTCTAGTGATGTATATAAAATGCCTGGCTCCCATGAGGCCTCATATTGCACCATTGTCTCTCTATACAACTCCTGTGGCCACTTCTAACACCACCTCCAACACTAATGCACCCTCACTGCTACTAGGTAATATTTGAATGCTTAAAAAAGCCAGGGATTAATAAAATGTGTGTGTTTTTTAACTTATTTAACATCTGTTGAGGAGATAAGACTAGTTGAAGTCTGTATATAATTTAGTTCTAAATTTTATCATAGGGACTATGAGGACTATAAAACTTTACAGATTAGTTGTCACAGATGCCTGAACATGTTAGGGAGGCTTCCTGCAGGAGGTGGCCCTTGAGAAGTTCTCTGAAAGTTTGAACAGGTGTTAGGAACAAAGTTCAGAAATGCACTGGGGCAGGATGGGCAGGATAGGCAGGGTGAGGCTGTGGAGCATTGTTGTCTGGGTGAGGAGG